TGAAGGGCTGTTGTGAACACGGTAATGAACTTTCGGGTTCCATGAAGGGCAATAGAAAAGTCACAAACGACCCCGGAGGGCTCTTCTGAAGTAGGAAGTTACCTTTCTGGTACAATGTAATGCTGGAAATTTGAGTAGCTACGCAACTGGCAGCTTCCGAAGGAGGGCTCAGTTCCATGGAGTTAGTTCAGAAAGGATTTGGAAGACAGTGATTATGTCCTAATTTGAAGTACTATCCCAGCACTATCCTGAAGGGAGTAGAGATAAGACAAAATATCTTCTTCTGACAGATCTCAAAACGACGCAGGGTTACAACTCCGGGAGCATAGCGTCTGTTCCTACGGCTTGTTAAATCTCGGGCCCTCTCTTGACGTAACGAACCACAATTTAATAACGCAGAACCAGACTTTTGGATCGTGATAGCTTAGTTAGTGGCTATTATAGAACAATATCTGACCTTGACATGTGCCACTTATATTTTCAAATGCGAATTCGGTCTGTCAGGCTGCCTAATCTCATAAATATGTTTCATAAAGAGTATTAATTTCATCTGCCAGTCCACTCAAAATATATGCAGAATCGTTTTAACCGAGGTCACTAGATCATAAGACAGAGAATATAAGGCAGGCTGGGAGGGTCAGCACTTCTCCAAAAAAAAAAAAAANGGCGGAAGAATTTCCATATTAAATTTAATTAAAAATTATAAATTCTTCACAGTATATTTTCACTTCTGATTACGAAGAACCTAATTATAATTTATATAATTTTGCATAGCTGATAGTCTTTCAGAAATTAAGAATACGCATGCCCATTTGGAACCCAATGATTACCTGCAAAATATTCACAAGATCCTGCCCATGAATTTCTATATGTATAATATAAATACCGTCGTAAATGCAACAATTTATTGTAGTTCTTTTTCTTCCTTCTTACACACTACATGTTTCGGCCCTAACTGGCCATCATCAGGTGTATTTCGTTGACGTAGCTGTTATACTGCATGTAATTTAAAATTTAAAAAACACCAGCTTCCTCAATTGTCATTGCTGCGTTTCAATCGGTCCCGATATACCAGAATCCCCTTGCTATTTTTGTCAGTTATGTTTAAAATCTCTGATAATATACACTCGATTTAAATTTAAAATTTAAATCACAGGGATACCTGCTCCATGTCTACAGGTGCTGCAGCGGCTACTTCTTGCTTTCAGCACCGTTCACGTATTATTCTGTAATACACAAATATTCGTATTACTATCTTATGTTCTTACGTTATTCCTATATGTTTTATACTGTTATGTGCGCCGACTGAAAAGCAGCGATGACAATTGAGAAAGCTGGTGTTTTTAAATTTTAAATTACATGCAGAGTAACAGCTACATCAACGAAATACACCTGATGATGGCCAGTTACGGCCGAAACATGTAGTGTGTAAGAAGGAAGAGAAAGAACTACAATAAAATGTTGCATTTAGGACGGTATTTATATTATACATATAGAAGTGATGAGTGCAACAGGATGCTTAAATATAATATAGTAAACTGCCCATGAACTTCATACTGCAACAGCCTAATTCGGTCCCCACCCTCATAATCCTTCCTTTCAAGCCTTTTACCATCTATGTCTAGATCTTCCAAGTGGTCTATTCCCTTCAGATGTCCTGGTCAAAGCTGTGTATGAATTTCGGATCTCTGTCCTGTGTCCTACAGGTCCAGAGCATCTTACCGACCCACACTCTGTGGGCAGAATGCAGAACTTCCTACGTTAAAGCAAGTGGTACATATATTAATCACTGGTCTTTGAAGGGTTAAATTAAAAATATATGCACAAGGAAGCAGTCGTGACGTAATATGAGATATTATTGTGGTATCTGCCTCGATGGGCTGAGGAAAACCACAAAAATCCTCAATCAGATGAGGCAATATTACTCCTGACGTCTGAATTCACATCATTTCTGTAAGAAACAGTCGAGCAGAGCGTTCAGTAACTATGGTTATCTTGTTAAAGCGGAAATTTGTATTTGTATGTCCACGCCAGCATCTTGGCGCTTCTTTTATTTGTTTAAATTTATACAGTATGACAAATTTACGGGCCGTAAAATGGAAGTTAAGACATGGAAAAACGATATTTACACTGTGGGTATCATAGACTGCTGTGAATTTTGAGGTTGCGCTGAAACAAAAATAATCATATCAACTTTGTTAATTAGGCATCACGCCATGGAGTCGCAGGGGGTAAGTTCTTAGCTTATCTATCTATACCTCTACAGCCCTGTTGGACCTTGGCCGCTTCTCAGTTTCTTGACATTTTAAACAGCCGGTAGGACTCCTCGGACGGGGGATCAGCGCGTCGCAAGACCGCTACCCACACACAAGAGAACATAAACACAGAATAAACTTAGACGGACATCCATGACTTGAGTTGGATTTGAACACACGATCCCAGTGTTTGAGCGCCCGAACACAGTCCATGCCTTAGTCTGCGCGGCCATCGTGATGGGCGAATTCTTAAATTGGACACTGTATAGAAGTGGGCGATCAGACTCACGCTCCGGCTGTTCTAATTCCTCAGAGACATGCCTCGATACTACTGGATAGGAGGCAGGGTGGGACCCACAGCCGGTCTCGAAGCTGTGGAGAAGAAATACTCTCTTACCCATCACAGGAATGGTAGCCCAATGCATAGAGGGAGTCGTTTAAAAGCGTAGTTTCAGATTTGTGTTCGGGAGGTCCGCTTATCACATCTCGGGACACTATCTATCTTGTTCGGAACGTATTTCTGATTATACTTAGCCACTTTGAGCAAAATTCCGGGATTAGACTTCGATTAAGCAGAGACCAGTTCCTTCCAAATCCTTTCCAGTTCATTATCATCCTACGATTCGACGCTGACAGCATCGTTAAATAGTCCACAGTAGAGATTGCCGATTCCTGGTTAGCTCAGCCCACAGTCTAGTCACTATACCCTCTGAGCTATTCCCGTTCCTGTATAATTATTAGTACTTTGCGTTGCACGCGCAGAAATGAACTCGGCAAGCGAAATACGGAAATAAGTGAAGGAAGTATCGGCATTTTCCATCGTGTGCCCCCCCCCCCAACCCGCCTCTCGCCGAACACGAGCCAGCGTCGAGAAACGCAAAGTTATCACAGCGAGTGGCCTCTCTGTTTGCGCAAGAAACAGGACTGCCTCAAGGCAGCCAAAAAGAAGTTTACAATCCCGCTTTATTTTGGGCTTCCAGGTTCACAATGAAGATGTATACGCGAGATGAGATGAAACTTAGAGAATTTGTAAGCATAGGAACTTGACGGGGGCACGCGGTAGCGTAGTTGGTTGAGGGGCTATGCTACAAGACGGAAGGTAGCGGGTTCCGATGAGGTCAGTGGATTTTTTCAATTGACCTAATCCTTCCAGCCGCACTAGGCCCTGGGGTCGACTCAGCCTCTAACAGAAATGAGTATCAGGACTTAAATAAATAATTTCCTGGGGAGTAAAGGCTGACAACCTTACCGCCATCTTTGAGCCGATTATGTAGATAATGTGGGAGCCTCAACGTCTCATAACCCTATGGGCCTTCACGGCCTGGTACAGGGATAGCTTTACTTTTTCTTTTTATAAGAATTGGATAAACGTACAGACCGGCTCTGGGGTCCACTCAAACTCCTATCCAATGGGTACCAGGGGGCTCTTTCCCAGGAGGTAAAGCGGCAGAGGCGTGAAGCTAACCACTCACCTCCAGATAAGGTCGAGATCAAGAAAATGTGCATCTATACATCCACTCCCCCATACGCCTTCATGGCGTAGTGCTTAATTAGTTAAGCACAGGGAGAACTTTACCAAAGAATCAGATAAATCCGTTGGCTCAAGGCTCCTAGAACCCATTTGATAGAAGGCTCGGTGAGCCTCAGGGTCGGCCTGGAGGGTGAGCCTGCCTGTAGGCTAGTCACCGAGTTGTCATGACTAAGCACATTCCGAGCCAGTTGCGATTTATTTTACTGATGTTCCAACTCAGAGAATTCATTTTTCCAAATACATTTAAGCCTTTCTGAGCCCTTCTTCTTCCCTTCATCTCGTGTCCCACTTCTCAGCCCCTCCCTTATTCTTTCTCCGTCTCCAAATTTACTGGTTGTTTTACATCGCTGTCCGTACCTAAGCTAGTATTCAGCGCCGAATGGCATCGTTACAGATGAGTAAAATTGAAAGGCTTAGGTAGTAACTGGTCATGACGTAATTGAAGTTACTGTCCTGGTACCTTACTGCGCGGACTGTGGGAAATAATGAAAAGTCTCACTCACGATACCTGGTAGAGATTCGAACCGAACCCTTCCCGGATACAAACAAAAACAAACTCCATGGTTTTAGTCCGCAAGCGAACTATTCCGACTGAGCGACCGCCGCTTGTCAGCGAAGTTAGTGGCAACTTAAGCGGATAGTGTGTGCCGCGTGGTCAGCGCAACGGAACCCCACGGCTGTTAATTTCGGTTTTCTAGACCGGAGCCGCTATTTCCTTGAAGTATCTCCTCAGTTATCCTCACGAGGCTGAGTGGACTCTGTTCCAGACACTACTTCTCAGAAAATCTAGTAGCGCCGGGAATCGAACCCCGGACCTCTGGATCTGTAGCCAGGAACTCTGACCATTTGACCACAGGGGCGGTCCGGACTACGAATCAGTTATCTTCACATCGATCCATTCACTGGGGTCACGCGGTAGCGTAGTTGGTTGAGATACTATACTACAAGCCGGAAGGTCGCGGGTTCGATTCCCTATGAGGCCACTTGATTTTTTCAATTGATGTAATCCTTCCAGCCGAACTATGACCCTGGGGTAGACTCAGCTTCTAACATAAATTAATACCAGGAATCTTCCTGGGGGTAAAGGGCGGCCGGCGCATAAGGCTGACAAACTCACCGCTATCTGTGAGCCGATTGTGGGAGCCTCAACGTCTCACAACCCTATGGGCCTCCACGGCCTGTTACAGGGATAGTTTTACCTTTTACCAATCATTCGCTTGCACTGTTTGTTTATATTTTCTGTTATTTTCCGTTTATAATTTCTCTCCTAGTTCACAATCTTCCCGTTTGCTTCTCCCTGAACACTACGCTGTTCCACACGTTCCTGTAGGCGGGTGCGGGGAAAGTTAGCTGTGAAGTGCGGTATTTCCGCCAGAAGATTAGACAGGCCACAGCGATAAAACGCGATTTGTCTGTGACGTCGCGTTGGAACAAACTCTGCCCCCTTAAAAAGTGGACAGGGGATTCAGTGGGTTGATAGAGAGAAATTGCGTTACTTTTCAGTTGGAAATCTGTTCGGGGGCCACGTTGGGAAGCAGTTCTAACAGTGCGGTGTGCTGCGGGTTTTGCAGGCATAATCACAGTTCCTCATGTCGAGACACAAGGCAAGGACGCGTCGAATAGTGACAGTTCAGCGAAAGACTGTGTTGCACAACTGCTTACCTGAATGAAGCGCGTCAGGTTAGTGTACCACTAGCAGGAGGCTTACTCACAAATGGCAGAATCTGAGGTCCTCACATCGGTGCTTATGAAGAGTAATATCTTTTGGGATATAACACCGTGTATTCCGTTAAAAGTCACCGAACCTCGCACCTGCTTTCACGCTGGTATCTTGCTCGACTTATTCGACCCTGAAAATAGAGGCGATATGTTCCTCCGAAACGTCGGTTGACCGTCAACTGACTACATGTCGTTATATACCAAAAGATATTGCTCTATTCACAGATTCATTGTGAGGTTTATATTGCTACTAAATTTAAATTTTGTGTTTTGTTGTATCTGAGGTTCACACAGCGGTTTACTTCTGGGAAATGACGCCGTGTAGTCCGGTAAAAATTCATCGACACCTGATTCTTTCTAGTGAGCTTCTACATGAGCACGCCATCAAGTCTCAGTAGGCAGTTCTATTGATGTGGGGTTTTTTGTTAATGGTGTTTCTAGATTCATTAGTGTGCGGTGTTGGTTGTAAGCTGGGTATGGTTACCAAGGTGTGAGCCAAAATGTGAGCTTGTGAGAGGCAGAAATTTTTGGCACTCAAAACTTACAGTGGCGGTGCTTATTGGAGTGTTTAATATCGTGAATTTTTCTGCGAATGTTTCGTGACCCGATCCTAGAACGAATCCGCAGAATACGGGTCAAACAGGAAGCAAATAATAATAATAATAATTAGTGCTCGTAATCAAGAAAAATGTGGATAAATTCCCGAGTATGTGTGTGTGTGTGTCTGTGTGTGTTTAACTTCTGATCCATTTGACTGTCTGTTATGCGCGTTAATAACCGTTGGAACTCATCCCAAACTCATAATTTTTANCACGTAAGTGTTGTTAAGAAGTGAGAAATGAAACATATAAATATTTAATTAAGAAATGAAAAGTATAGATTTTCAGAGGATAATAATAATACTAACAATTATACTATATTTAAACATCGTTTGGAGAGAACTTTGCTGGCTCCGAATACGTAAACATCCCTGCAGACAACATTAGCAGCTGAAGCACATCTAGCAGAGGGGCAATAATAATAAAAATGTGAAAGTAAAATTGTCCGAGCTTAATTCCTTAAGCACTGTGCCACGGGGACGTATGTGGGAGTGGAGGTATAGCTCCACCTTTCTTGACCTCGGCACTAGATGGAGGTGGGTGGTCAGCTTCACGCCTCGGCCTCTTTAATCCCGGGGTAAGAGCCCCCGTTACTCATTGGATAGGAGGCTAGGTGTGCCCCAGAGCTGGTCTGAACCCTGTGAAGAGAAAATATTTTTCCCGTACCAGAAATCGAACTATGATTCCTTCTGGGTCCTCCACGCCCACCACTTCTTCTTCCTAGTGAACTCAATCCATTTCTTTAAGATCAGTTTCAATAATAATATCCCATAAACGCCTAGGTTTTTATGAGTTGTCTCTTTCCTTCAGGTTTTCCGACAAGAACTCTAAATATATTTCTGTTCTGTCCGGTACCCTTAATGTGCCCCGTCTTCACGCGCTCGAAATGGCTGACGCTTGCACAAATTTCTAAACTCGTCATGCAAATTACAGAAACGTTGCTACTGATAATTTTCATGGTTAATGATTCATGAATATTTAACATGAAGTTCTCGCGGTCTACATGTTTCCAATGTTCATCCACGTGGCAAACTGCACTCACTAATTGCGACCCACTTACGCGTCAGTCGCCTCAATAAATTGGGCAGGTACTCGGCTGTTTCGAGTTAGGCTCTACCCAGTAGGAATGTGGATTTATTTTCTCAATCCGTAAATATTTACAGTCATTCCTCGCTAATCCGGAGTTATGGGCGGTAGAGGTCAACCGGAATAGTGAAGCAAAAGTAGCCCTAAAAGACAAATAAAAATCTTAGAACACAAACACATGGAAATTTTATCAATGCAAGAAATAAAATCTATCCCCGTAACAGGTCGTGAAGGACCATAGGATTGCGAGACGTCGAGGTTCCCATATTTTCTAGACAATCCGCTCACAGATGATGGTAAGATTTTCAGCCTTATGCGCCGGCAGCCCTTTACCCCTCCAGGAATATTCCTGGTACTCATTTCTGTTATGGCCTGAGTCGACCCCAGGGACATAGTGCGGCGGGAAGGATTAGGGCAATTGAAAGGATCTACCTCATCGGGACTCGAACCTGCGACCTTCGGGTTTGTATCATAGTGCCTCAACCAAATACCCTACCGCGTGCCCCTTGCTGTTAGTAGTGTTGATGAAAATAAATAATAAAATATCACTGTTTAACCTTTATTTCAAAACAAAAAAAGATAATATATTGAGACCGCACCCTAGCTCAAGTGGTTAGTCGCCGGCTTTCCACCGCGGCGACTCGGGTTCGATCCCGGCTCTGGTCAAGTGGGATTTGTGGTGGACAAAGTGGCGCTGGGGCATGTTTTCTCCGAGTACTTCGGTTTTCCCTGTCAATCTCCATTCCACCAACTGCTCCACAATCACCCTCACCTATCATCTTGGACTGGTACAATAGGCCTGAAGTGGCCGCAGTACAAGGGGCTTAGCCCGACTCCACTAGCAAATAAAAAATATATATATTTATTCATCGATAGAAGACTCAAAAGCTGTACTTGTTTTTGAACGTAATTATGCAGGTTTGAAATCAAGTTTTTCTGAACAGACAAGTGACTCATCTGCCCTCCTAAATGCCCAGTGTCTTTCAAAGTATGCACTCAACTGTGAACGGCATTTTTCATTTTTCATATTTCAATCCGGATATAGCATAGAATGGCAGGATGAGAGATAAATGATCAATTGGAAGAGATTTGGAAGGAAGTTGTCGTGGTCTCCTGGAATTTACCTGCAAGACCACCAGAAAAACACGTGAAATCTCAGTGAGGGCAGCCCGTCTTCCGGCCGAGACTCGAACCAAACTACTCTTGAGTACATTTCCAGAGCGATATCGCTACATTGTCACGTTCTGTGAGGTGTTTACTTATTATCTGTCTGTACCCTCCTATTCACTTGCGGTTTATTTTTCCACACTGACGAAGGGAGCAGGAAACTCCCCCAAACCTTAGTTAAGCTTTAACCGGGATGTAAGGCATCTACTTCCTTTAAGCCAGCAAGTCTTGACATAAGAATTAAGACTGCGAGTCAGTGAAGCGAAGAGACAGTTCTGTGCGTTTTCCCAGCAGCCCTTGGTAAGTTTAAATAATTAACTTTCCTCTCCGTTGATCCTGCTTGTGCCGTGGTTACATTCTAATTTCCTCCTTCCGTATGGCCGCCAATCTACGAATAACCTGTCTCAGTCGATATTTCAGTGTGGTCACAGTAACGACAAAATATAACCTGCGAGATCTACAGTCTCGCATAAAAGCTTATTCACACGTCCTATCATGAAACTATAGCCGCGACAGCTCGGTTGACATAGCGACAAGGATTACGTGCTGACCGGCCGAGGAATCTGGGTTCGATTTCTTCTCTTTTCTGCAATGCCCAATCCAGCTCTAGGGCCCACCTGTCCAATGGGTACAAACGGTTATTTCCGGCGGGGGGGGGGTTTAAGCGGCTATGGCAATTCAAACTGACCACTCACCTCCATTGTCGTGCCGAGGTTAAAAATGAGTGGAGCCGTGCCTCCACTCCCCCTGCGTTTTCATGGCGTTACGCTTAATGAAACACAGAGAAAATTTTCACCTTTCTATCATAAAAGCGACTTTTCCCTTTTCACAAGAAAAGGAACCATTATTGCAATTTATGAATCTGTGACTCTACAGCCTTTTTATGGACCTTAGCCTCTTTTTAATTTCTTGATCCTGTACACAGTTAGTAGGTCTCCTTGGTCGAGGGATCAGCCCGTCACAAAGCCGCTACCTACACACAGAACATAAACAGAATTAATGCACACAGACATCCATGCCTTGAGTGGGATTCAAACCCACGATCCCAATATTCGAGCGAGCGTAGACATTTCATGCCTTAGACCGCGCGGCCATTGTGATAGGCATTCTTACAATTATCATAAATACCAAGGCCGCGCCATAGCTCAAGCGGTTAGTCGCTGGCTTCCCACCGCGTCGGCCCGGGTTCGATCCCGGGTCTGGTCAAGTGGGATTTGTGATGGACAAAGTGGCGCTGGGGCTGGTTTTCTCCGAGTACTTCGGTTTCCCCTGCCAATCTTCATTCCACCAAATTCTCCATCATCATAATTACCCGAGGCAGGCTACAATAGGCCGATCAGTGGCCGCAGTGTTGAGTGGACCCAGCTGGACTCCACCGATTAAAATAAACATAAAAACCAGTTTGAAGTTTATAATAGAGTGGGCTGTTTTGATGAAATACGGCAGAACACTCAACAGTTTCGTGTTCTATTGATTCAGAACGTGTAGGCAATGAAGTGACGCATGAAACATGTTCATTTCAGGAACGTACGTTTATGATTTCGCATGACTTGATTGTCTCTATATGAAAATCATGCAACAGTAGTAATGTCAGGTTTCTTTTCGAAGCCTGAAGAAGAGACAACAGGAGTTGTCTGCAGTCTAGCTGCAGTTGTCAGTACAACTGTCATGAGGCATCAGTACTGGGTCCCACATTAGTGCAGTTCAGGTGCAATTGTCAGTACAACAGAGAGAATTTACTGGAGTCTAGTTGCAACTGTCAGTACAACTGCCATGAGGCATCAGTACTGGGTCCCACATGAATAGCTTCCCCTGGTTTCTTGTCGGTCAGAAGATGCCAATAATGTTATTTAGTTGAAGAAAGCAGTCTTCTGGGATATGGCGCTGTGTAGATATTGTGTTAACCGACGTTTTGGAGGAACGTATCGCCTCCATCTTCAGGGTAGAAGAAAAAGATAGCACATGAGCACTTGTTTGCGCCGGTTCCTCGCTTGTGCAGTTTCTTCGTTTTCTTACATGTTATTTAGTTGTCTGGCTGTGACGTCAGTTCACGTATGTGTTAATGAGTCTAAGTGTGCAAATTCTGTATTCCTTTGATTGCGCTTAGTGATTTATTTTTATTTTCCTTCTTCTTCTCGTTATTTCCTTTTACGTCATCATTCTCCTCCTCTATCTCTTGGGCTCTCTACGCCTAACCCCCAACTTCCTTACGGAGGTTAACGTGGTCCTGTTCAGCAGGTTTCACGCATCTGTCTAATCACATCGTTGTAGCGGGTTTTCATTTCTTGTTACGTATTTGTGTCTACAGCCACGCCGTAGCGTAGTTGGTTGAGACACTATGCTACAAACCGAGGCCGCGCCATAGCTCAAGCGGTTAGTCGCTGGCTTCCCACCGCGGCGGCCCGGGTTCGATCCCGGGGTCTGGTCAAGTGGGATTTGTGGTGGACAAAGTGGCACTAGAGCAGGTTTTCTCCGAGTACTTTGGTTTCCCCTGCCAATCTTCATTCCACCAAATTCCCCATCATCATAATCAACCGGGCCAGATACAATAGACCAATCAGTGGCCGACGTGCCGAGTGGACCCAGCTGGACTCCACCACCCACGGTACGAAAATGCTACAAACCAGAATATCGTCGGTTTGATTCCCGATGAATTCATTGATTTTTTTCATTTGACCTAATCCTTCCAGCCGCACTGTGGCTCTGGGGTAGACTCAGCCGGCGTGTAAGGCTGACAAACTCACCGCCATCTGTGAGCCGACTGTCTAGAGAAAACGTGAGAGCCTCCACTGCCTGTTACAGGGATAGATTTACATTTGTTACGTGTCTGGAAGTTGGAGGTATTCATCTAATTTAAGATTTGAGAAAGCTGCAGATAAGAAGTTAACTTCTGTTGTTCTGGGATATCTTCCAGTCATCCTTAAGCATCTGTCTTGTATCATCAGGATTGTTTAGATATTAAATTTGTGTGCGTAGGCAGGTGCAGGCTTCGCAACCAAAGCAGACCACTCATCTAACACCACGTCATGTATAGCCAGAGTTTGGTGACGGATATGAGTTTGCTGAGGTAACCGGGGAGGGGATATGGCTCTGGAATTTTTGCCAATGTCATTTTGAATATGTTGCTTATGCGTTCATTCCAGATGTGTAAAGTATAGGTAAGCCGATCACAGTGGCCCCGCGGTCTAAGTTATGAAGTGTCTTCACTTCTCGAGCATTGAATGGGTCGTGATTTCAAATCCCACTCAAGGCATGGATATCTGTGAGCGTTTGTGTTTTCTTGCTGGCCTGTGTGTATGTAGCGGCCTTGCGACGGGCTGATCCCCGGTCCAAGGTGTCCTACCGGCTCTATTACAAAACTGAAAAGAAAGAGGCCAGGGCTCACCAAAGGGCTGTAGAGCCATTGATGAATGAACGAAAGTAAAGGTAAAGTTGTTACTGTGCTTAACTAATTAAGCACTACGCCATGAAGACGTAGGGAGTGAATGTATAGATCATTTGTAATTAATCTCAGCACTATTTTGGATTGATCAGCTTCACGCTCCGGCCTCGTTACTCCGAGGAAATAACCCCCGATACTCTACAACGCACTACAGCACGCACTAAGTCTTCTCAGTCAGCTGTATCTTCAACGGTTGTCGCCTGATAACGGCTTCCAATGTCGTAGATTCTTTAGCTTCCGTATTCAGGCCTTATTCGCCGGCGACTGTGTTACAACTAACTAAACTTTAGACTTCTCTTACATATAACACCTTGGCAAAAACCCTATAGAAAAAAACACTCCGAACACGTTTTCTATTGTTGCATCACACAGCTGTCGCACCGACTGCATAGAGAACACTGCTACACAGTCCACTGATGCGTGTTAAGAATCTGTTGCCTAGAACCGGACGTTATGTACAGAGTCATTACTTAGCAACGAGTTTACATGTTACTAATGTGCTTTAATATGTGGAGGACTTTACGACGTTTCGTCCTTCACATGAAACATCAAAATGCAAGGTGACATTAACTGTAAGACGTTGCTATGTACTCTACACGACATAAGAAAGCAAAGAATACTAAAACTATAACTGTGAAGAATGCTGTATTGAAACTGTGAACTGACGGCAGTGAGTTGCGTTTGTATAACCGGACAGAGATGACTGATAGACACAAAATGGCGGGGCCTCTCGGTCGATTAAAACGATTACCGACGTTTACTGTATCAAGGGGAGAGGTACAATTCAGTCTTCGAACTGTGGATCCCATGTTCCGGCTGTCTCTAACGCGACTAGTTGATTCATCGTCATCAGCGTCGCCTACGCCTCCCGACTCATCCTCTCCAGGGGCGGAGGCCCGGTTTGCAGCCAGCTGGGACACTCGTTTCAGACAGGAGTGGGCACGGCTGAGGACGGCCGTTCAAGAGATCTTCCACTTCAAGGTAAGGGCTGTTTGGCATCCCTGCTTCTCGTATATGCAGCGTTCAGGGCGCATGCGTCGTTCTGCGCTAACTTCCGTAACTCATTTAACGAAACTTTCAGTAAAAGGAAGGTAAAGGTATCCCTGTAACAGGCCATGGAGGCCCATAGGGTTGTGAGACGCCGAGGCTCCCAAATTTTCTAGACAGTCGGCTTACAGATGACGTTGAGGTTGTCAGCCTTACGCGCCGGTCGTCCATTACACCCAGGAAGATTCCTGATACTAATTTCTGTTAGAGGCTGAGTCGACCCCAGGATCATAGCGGTACCGATACTATATAGAGTCAGATGGTATGATAAATTGGGAAGTATTTGAAAGGAAGTGGTCGTGGCTTAATGAGGTACCATCCCGGAATTCGGAAGGGACTGAGGACAACCATGAGAACCAACAAACGGATTAGCCAAATCTAGACTGGGATTCGAACCGAGTACAGAGCTTACATCTGGAACATCCCATTAATATTGGTCTGGAGACCAGCTGTCCTCTATGATGATTTTTCAAGGTTTTCCTCAGTAACTGCAGGAAAACTCCTAGATAATACCTCTAATTAGACCACGACCGGTTCCTTCCAGATCCGTTTTATTCAGTATTCACTAGTAGTCCAATCATTCGGCTTGACCTGTGCAATATGGCGCACTGGCAGCGAGTTTAAGTAAATCATCAAATAAAATAAATCACTAAAAGTGGGATGGTCTAGAGGTAACGTCATAAATTCTTATTTAGTGAGGTGCTCGGTTCAATTCTCGACCGAAACACCGACTATCCTGACTGGTTGTGTCAAGTCCTGTTGGTAAACGCCTGTAAGATACCTCGATTGGGTCACCGACTGTTTCCTTCTAAATCCCTTTCAGTTCATCGTTCACCCCATCACTCGACGCTACTGACCATGCCGTAAAACGAGTTGCACTACTCCGAGTCATGAGATATTAAAATATGGTCATGGGCCCAAGAGGCTCGGAAACAAGACTGACTGTGCTGGCGAAGACCAGTAGAAATTTACCATACTCGATTCGGCATAAACTAAATCACAAACCCCACAACGTAATGCTATATATTAGAGTAAACTTTCGGAACCCTGTATTGCAGGCGGAACCTCGGCAGAGCGGCTCGAAGTCAAGACCCGCCTTTACACGCGGCCAGCTCACGGCGTTGCACAATGACATCAGAGTTCTGCTTCGATCCCAGGCTGGGGCCTTCATATTCGAGTACTACCAGAACACTCTTCTCCCTACCGTCGCATGCCTCCTGCTGGAAGAGATAGAGAGGTTCTCGTCAGATCTCGCTGCCAGTCTTGTCGCGGCCTGGACGCACTTCTACTGCCACGCCCTCCCTACACTCGAGGCCGTCTTCATACAGGTGAAGGTGCGTTACCCCTCCCAGATCACGCACTATCTGCTTCCTTCTCAATTCTTACCAACTCATCCATCGTAGTACCATCCTACATACTGAAGGTAAGGATAAAGTTTTTCCAGTCTAATGGAGGTACAGCTCTACGTATTCTTATCCTCTGTACAAGACAGAGGTAAAGCTATCCGTGTAGCAAGCCGTTAAGGTCCGTAGGATTGTGAGACGTCGAGGCTCCCACATTATCTAGACAGTCGGCTCACAGATGGCGGTAAGGTAGTCAGCCCCATGCACCGGCCGCCATTTATCCCCCAGGAAGATTCCTGGTACTCATTTCTGTTTGAGGCTGAGTAGACACCAAGGCCATAATGCGGCTGGAAGGATTAGGTCAATTGAAAAATTCCAATGGCCTCCTCAGCAATCGATCCCGCGACCTTCCGTCTTGTTGTACAGTGATTCAACCAACTACGCTATCGCGTGCCCCCATGAGATGGAAGTGGGGCCAAATTCGTGCTCCCGCGGAAGTACGTCCCCTTACCCGTTGGATGGGAAGCAGGGCGTGTCCCTTAGCTGGTCTGGACGATTTACTGAAGAGAAAAATCTTAGTCCGGGAATCGAAGCAAGATTCCTCTGCCTTCCATCTCATACCGACTGAGCTGTCCTAACGGGAGTGTTAAAATAACCCAAAATCTACATGCTACAACGGAGAGAAGGCGAGGAGAGTGGTGGGTACGACTCGTCGACATTTGCCATTGTGTTCGCGGCCACACTGAGCTTCATGTGGCAAAAGCGACGGTGAAAATGGCCTCAATGTTTTCATGCTGAACAGTACATCCAGGGACGGTCCTTGATTTCATTGCCTTTCCTTCTCCTCGCTGGAGGACTGTACGTTTTCAGCAGCAGAATTCACTTGAAGATGTACTGTGATATTCCCATGGCTGTGAATATTAGGATTACGGCCTTCTTGGATGTGACACCGTGTAGTCTGGCAAGTAATTACCAGTATTTCAAAGGATCATACTGCTTACATTATGTCAGTAACTAACTAACTAACTAACTAACTATCTTCCCGGAGCTCAGCCCTTCTTGAGTCGCCAGTTGTGCAGCTACTCAAGAACATCCCAACATTTTATGAAAACCGATGGTTCATCACCGTGTTCATAAGAGCCCCCCACTGGTCCCTATCCTGAGCCTCATCAATCCAATCCATACCATCCCATCCTATCTCTCTAACATACATTTTAATGTTGTCCACCCACCTACGCTTTGGTCTTCCCAGTGGTCTTTTTCCTTCTGACTCTCCAACCAAAATCCTATATGCATTCATCATCTCCCCCATGCGTTCTACATGCCTTTCGCATCTTACCCTTTACTTCATAATTATACTTGGAGAAGAGTACAAGTTATGAAGCTCCTCATTATGCAGTTTTCTCCAGCCTCCCGTCACTTCATCTCTCTTCGGGCCAAATATTCTCAACACACTGTTCTCAAACACACTCAGTCTATGTTCCTCCCTTAATGTCAGAGATCACGATATTCTGTCCTAATTAATTAACACCACGTAATGAGAGTCATTTTGAGAAGCTATTAGTCGCTTAGCTATTCAAGAAATTCCCTGCGTGATTTAACGACTGAGTAACTCAATGGAAAAGAGCCTTATTGTGAAGCCAACAGGAGGTATCGAACCCGATGGCTCAATGCCCTGATAACAAGAGCCTACCTACCATAATTGTAAGTCTATGTCCGGTTGCTTGGCTACCGAGCGGGGCTTAACCGCGTCCCATAATTCCCTGCGCCTCCTAGCAACAGGAATGAAACCTTTGATGTGTTCCAGAACCAAAGGACGTCCATCAGACAGGCTACGCTGCTGGCGTTTCGTGACTGCGTGCTACTGAAGCTGGCGTCCCGTCTGGAGCCCTTGCTCGATGAAATGAACGCTGAAGGGAGCGTCCCGCCTGCAATCAGACAGATGTTGCTAGTTCTGCAGGTAACTTTTTGTTTTTAAGTTGGCAGTCTTAACGTTTCTGGTATTCTTCTGAATAAACTCGGCATGTAGTTCTTCCATTTAGGGTTTAACGACGATTTTCATTGCTCAGGTTTTTTTATTGCTAGTGGGGTCCCTAAGTCCCCTGTACTGCGGCCACATCTGGCCTATTGTACCAGCCCCAGATGATAGGTGAGGGTGATTGTGGAGCAATTGGTGGAATGAAGTTGGCAGGGGAAACCGAAGTACTCTGAGAAAATCTGCCCCAGCACCACTTTGTCCACCACAAATCCCACTTGACCACACCCGAGATCGAAACCGGGCCGCCTCAGTGGGAAACCAGCGACTAATCACTTGAGCTATGGCGCGGCCCAATTGCTCAGGTTACATAACGTCATTGCTCAGGCGGTTAGTGGCCGGCTTCCCACCGCGGCAGCTGGGTTTGTGACCAGGTCAGGTCATGTAGGATTTATGGTAGACAAAGTGGCACTGGGGCAGGTTTTCTCAGAGAACTTCTGTTTCCCTTGCCAATTCTTATTCAGCCGACTGCTCAGCGCTCACTGTTATCTAACATCCGGGGCTGGCACAATAGCCCAAATAGTGGCCGAAATACCAAGTGGACTCAGTCCCACCCCACCCCAAGAAACTAAAAAACAAACTATATCGTCTCATGACAGGATGTTTGTTGGTTGTGTAGGAAAGCAGAATGGAAGGATTCAGAGGAATGGCAGAACATGTGTGCGTATGTATAGGGCTATATATATATATATACATTAAATAACTAGCCGGGATAGCGCAGTCGGTATAGCGACAGGCTACGGGTTCGACGTCCGAGGATTTGGATTTCGAGTCCCGATAGGGTCAAGAATTTTCTCTTTTCCACGTCGTCCAGACCGGCTATAGGGCCTACCCAGGGTCCTATCCAATGGGTACAGGGGTTAAAGCGGCAGGGGCGTGAAGCTGATCACTCACCTCCTGCTAGTGCCGAGATAAAGAAGATTTGGATCTATAGAGGCACTCCCCCATAAGCTTTCATATCGTACTGCTTAATTAGTTAAGCACAGGGACAACTTTGCCTTTTATATGATTAAGCACAAGGAAAATTTGGAGGGCACGGTAAGAAGGCGCGAGGGTACAGTAGCCGGAGTGTAAAGCCGGGCAGCACAAAGTGTAAACTTAACGGATAGTATGAATTATTCAATCTTCAGTATTCAGTAATAAATGGTAAAAAGGATATGCCATAATTAAGCCGGTTAGACGCCTTCCTCCCACCATTAAAACCCGAGTTCGATCCCCGGTCAGGACATGTGGAATTTGCGGTGGACTCGGACAGGTTTTCTCCACATCCTTCTGTCATAGCGGCCGGAGAGTGAAGCTATCCGCCTTCTTCTAGTGTCGGGGTAAATATCACATGGATCCATACCTCCACTCTCCCATACGTTTTCATATCGCGCAGGGATTTCGCCTTTCTTGTGATACTGCAGTTGATGAGGAGTGATTTAACGTGACAGCCTATACACGCATTCTAGAAGTTTTTGTTTCGAATCTGTGCTAGAACCGCGACTGTCCTGACTGAGGATTTTCGTGGTTTACTGAGTCCTCTTAAGACAAATGTCGGGGAACTGCCATGATTACGTCATGATCACTTCCTTCCAGATCCTTCGCACTTCATCATTCACCAATCATTCCACTATCCAACGCTGTGTAGTCGAGATACTGGACAAAATCATACAATAGACACTCCCCCCACCCCAAAGACAATAAAACCAGCTGTTGCCCTTCAATTGACGTACGGTGAATAGGTGAAGTTTCTGAATGAAGCGGAGTGTACATAAATGCTCAATCAAGCAATTAGTAAAGAGGGACTGGGGAAAACAGCTAAGAATCTTATACGAGGAAGAGTCAGTAAACAGGTCACAAATGGAACTAAAACAGCTCTAATAGACGTAATAGAGCTTTATGTGTATCACTAGATAGCAGCACAGTCCAGCTTCATGACAATCTAGGTAGCAGACGCTCATGCGAATGTTCAGAGGCTGGTTTCAGTAGTCAAAATGGCGACCGTGTTTGAGAAGTGTAATATCGAAGAGCATTATATTGTGCTTTTCCTGTGGGCAAAAGGACTCTATGCAAAGGATATTCATAAGGAAATATTTCCTGTTTACGGTGGGAAGTATTTATCGCGTAAAAAGTTCCACATCTGGGTTGTAGACGTTTCGCTGATGACGAAGAGGTTGAAACGGGGGTGCTGAAGTGGCTGAGGCAAAAGCCAAAAAATACTTTTATGCTGCTTGTTTCGACGCACTGGTAAAGCGATGGAAAAAGTGTATCAGTGTTGGTGGAGGATACGTTCAGAAATATATTTTTTTTTTTCCAGTTTCGAATATGACGTATTTTACGTTTTATATCCATTTGTGACCTCTTTACTTACAGTCCCTGTCCCTCGTACGTGGTAACCAATAATCCACCTGAGTTTCGACACGGTTACCTTCTGAATACAAGACTACACTGTTACCTTTATTACCAGGTGTTATGTTGTACATCTATGAAGGCTTCCAGGCTGGGGAAATGTGAAAGTTTTCACGCGTAAGCGGAAATAGAAATGTACAACGTCACGGAAGTTGTCCAGTTAGCTGTGATAGACCACACCGGAAGTGGTCAAATCACAAGAAGTGTTGACTAATGATTGCAAACAAGACTCTAAAAATATACATTTATGCACTGAACAAGTGAGTTTAGCGGAATGAGTTATAAGAAGGATGAAGATAAAGATATGCTGGGCTGTTTCAAAGGAACATATCGCCTCCATCTTCAGGATCGAACAGTAAACCAAGCAAGAAACCAGTAGGTGCCTCTCGGGATCTCTTCGTTTTACAAGACGTTGCACTGAACCTCAAGTCCTGTACCCTAAATGTACAGAATCAGTACACAGGCTTCAGCGCGTGCTGCTTTCACAGGCGCTAAACTAGAATTAAAAAGTTACAAAGATAAAGTTGTCCCTGTGTTAACTAATTAAGCACTACACCGTGAAGGCATATGGGGAAGTGAATGTATAGATCCATATTATACTGACCTCGGCACTAGCTGGAGGTGAGTGGTCAGCTTCACGCCCCTGCCGCTTTACCGCCGGGGAAAAAAACCCCGGAGCCGGTCTGGATGACATGGAGAAAATTTTTGGTCCTACCGGGGCTCGAACTCCGACACCGACTATGCTATCCCGGCTCCCAAACTAGAATTAAACACGTGTACATTGTTTAATGAGTATGCTTCAAAATTCATCGAGTTTCATCAATTTTCTCCTGCTGATCTTCGTTCGGCAGTTGCTTTCTCATTTATCACCGTTCCCTGAGGTGTTCGACAGCCCTGCCAGGCAGTGCATTATCATATCCTCGATCTTTAAGTTGTGGGCGTCGTTTCGCTGGTTGCAGAGTGAAGGAGTTAAGATTACTCTTAGATTCGATCTGAAAGATATTTTGATATGTACTAAATAGACAGGATTTAATAAACTGATATCTGTACTAACAATGTGATCCATGGGGCGCCTCTAGAGGAGAGCTAATACCAGATTCTGCGAAATCTTTCACTTGGTTTAGAAGTTATTAAGAGGGATATACGGATGTAATGAAGAGATTTTCTGGGATGTGACACCGTGTAGTCCGGACTGAGCTACATGACGTCACATCCCAAAATATAGAAATCAACACAACCACAAAATCCCTTATTGAACTGAATAACTTGTGCTAAATACTGAAATTAATTTGAAATACTCGAAGTAAATTCCAACTCGTCCTTGTTATCAACTAAGTACCACGTCATGAAGACGCATGGAGGAGTGGGCGTTCAGCTTCATGCATTCATAACCTCGAGCACTAGTGGGAAGGGGACAGTCTCACGTTCCGGACTCTTTTGACACCATGGATGACGAGAGAACGTTATATTTGACATGGATACTGTGAGAAAGAAAAAAAAAGATCTTGTCCATACCAGACTTCGAACCCCGATTCTATATCCGTCCAGGCCATACTAAGATCCCCCACTTCTTAGGAATAACAGTACAGAACCCCAGTTCTTAGTTTCAAGTCGACAAAATTTCGAGAGCACATCATTACGGTGTTTGTGCCCCATGTGGAGTGCCACTTGTAGCTTCTTAGAACACCGTAATGATAAGTGACGTCAAGTGAGTTCGGAGGCGGGGGAAATCCCCTTAGTGATACTGTGTCGCTACCTAGCGACACTGCCACACAACTGGCAGTTGTTTGCTGCCTTATCTCTTAAGTAAAATAGTAATCGATACGATTGTAAAACACTTAAGATTACTAATAGTTTATAAATTGAAGTATATACTAGCAATTATGAGAAATATTCCATTTTAAGGCCATAGAATTTTGAAGTGTTACTGATAATCCAGGAATTGAACGTACTGGCAGTTCGACTCAGAGGTCACAATGGCTGCAACTCCTTCGTATTCAGGATGTCCCGGGTTGAAGTCTCGGACAAGAGACAGACTATCCTGAGGTTTTCCACAGTTTTCCTCACTCACTTCGGGAAAATTCCGGGAACGCTTCCTGCCATGTCCTCTCCAATTCATTACTGACTACCAACTTATTATTCGACGCTATACTGACAATATCATTAAGTTAAAGACAACAAAATAAAGAAATGCTAGCGGGGATATGAAAATGGATCTTAGAGAGATAGGATGGGATGATATTGATTGGATTGATCTGACTCAGGATAGGGACCAGTGGAGGGCTCTTGTGAACACGGTAATGAACCTTCGGGTTCCATAAAATGCTCGGATATTCTTGAGCAGCTGAAGAATTTGCGGCTCCTCCAGAAGGGCCCAGCTCCACGAGTAGGCAAGTAAGCGGTTACGAAGATTATGATTTTCTGGGGTATTACGCCGTGTAGTCTGGTTTATATTTATGAAAGTTGCATAAACTATATCGTCTTCATTTTATGAGTATAACTCTTGATAGATCAGCACCAAAGTTCTGGGAGTCCACCTGTATCTGTCTTCGGTGTAAAAGAGTTTGCACTGAAAATGGAGATAGCACCTTGCGCCGAAACAATGCTAACTACTTACTAACTACACAGCTTGACGCTACATAATGTCCTACCAGAAATCTCATTAACTTACTTCAGTTTACTGTTCTGGAATTGTGGCTCTCGCAATGAAGGAGGCACGCGGTAGCGTAGTTGGTTGAGGCACTATGTTACAAGCCGGAAGGTCGCGGGTTCGTTTCCCGATGAGGCATTGGAATTTTTAATTAACCTAATTCTTCAGCCGTTTTATGGCCCTGCGGTCGAGTTAGCATCTAACAGAAATGAGTACCTGGAATATTCTTGGGGGTAAAGGGAGGCCGGCGTATAAGGCTGACCTCACCGCCATCTGTGAGCCGATTTTCAAGAAAATGTGGGAACCTCGACGACTCACAACCCTATGGGTCTCCACGGCCTGTCACAGTGATAGCTTTACCTTTATGGATTGTAATGCAGCATAATTGGTATAAGTCCACTAACGTTTCGTAGGAATGTATCCCCTCCATCTTCAAGTTGGAATAGTTAGCAAGCAAGAAACAAGACATAGCAGATAGGTTCCTCTGAAACACCGGTGGATTTTGACCAGACTACGCGAGGTTGCAACCCAAAAATATCCTACTTCCCATACTGATGCCTGTGATAAATTCAGGTGTGACGTGTAACTTTTCCTTGCTTCTGGTTCCCTTAACTATCTTCTCCAGTTGTTTTCTGATTTGGTCTGCTTACACTCTTGTCTTTCCCCTGTCCTGCAGAGCGTTATGGAATGCTACCCCCCCAGTGAGAAGCGCCTCAAGTTGGAGTCCCTTGTGGCCAGAGTTGTGTCCCCCTATCTGGGACACAGGGGGCTGTACGAAGGGGGCTATGCTAAGCCAGTGATACCTTCACGAGAACTGGACGTGGCTCATCTGAGGAGACCAAGTGGTGAGTGAAGGCAGAGGCATCTCACTGTCAATGCAGACGTAACGTTCCCTTTGATCTAGGATGCGAGTACGCAGTAATTGGGTTGTCTTGGGCAACATGGGGGGGGGCAACGATTTTCGAAGAAGCTCTATACAACTCCGTGGCCTTTAGTCCGCAAGCGAACTATACTGACCGAGCTACCGCCGCTTTTCGGCGAAGTTAGTGCCAACTTTTGCGGATAGAGGGTGTCACGTGGTCAGCACAACGGATTCCCACGGCCGTCAATCTCGGTTTTCTAGACCGGAAGGAAGTATATAACATACATTAAATTTATAAACTCCCAAAAATAACAAAATATTACAGACTATTTTTCAATTTGATGCAAGCCGGAAGGTCATGGGTTCGATTCCTGATGAGGTAATTTGGTTTTTCCACTTGACAATCCTTACAGCCGCACTATGTCCCTGGGGTCGACTCAACCTCTAACAGAAATTAGTACCAGATTCTTCCTCGGGGCAAAGGGCGGACGGAGCATAAGGCTGACCTCACCATCATCTGTGAGCCGATTGTCTAGAAAATGTGGAAGCCTCGACGTCTCACAATTCTATGGGCCTCCGCCGTCTATTACAGGGATATCTTTACTTCTTAACTTTTACTTCTCAATTTTATTTGTATTAATTTACATAGGAACCAGTAGAACTGCGAGAGAGATCTGAGACTCGTGCACGTCAGTGCGACAGTCGCTGCTGGGCCGCGCACGCGCCCAGCTTAGAGAGAACATTTTTCTTAAAATTTATTATTTCCCTCATGCCACAAAATGGGGGCGGGTTATTTTCAGGCAACGTCGATTTCTAGAATAGTACATAATGTCGTGTGGTGGGATGAAAGGGATAAATTTGTAAGGAAGCGGTCTCGGTTTAACCAAGGTAAAGTCTGTCTGCTGTAATAAAAAGCGAACGTCCTGTGGTGTGTAAGCAACCTTGCATGAGACGTCCTGACTATGTACGTTTGAATATCCCACCAGAGCATCGACAATGGAAACACGTTTAAAATAAATTCGAGCGACTTTCTATTGATGACGCAACTGCGTACGTCATGAGCTCACTATGACGTACACTCTTTCCAATAATGGGTGGAGTATACTACCATGACACTTGCCTAGAATTTCTGAGGAACACCACAAAGAACCATTGTACACATATCTTGTGTCTGTCAAGATTCGAAGCAAGCACATCCCGAATACCAGGCTAGAGTACTACTGCTAGGCCAACATGCTCAGTCCCACAAAATGTGCACAACAGAAATGCAGTGAAATATTTTTTGAGTGGACACACGAACGTAAGAGTCGGACGCTTTTCTCGTCGAGTCGGGCCGATTTTTAACTTACGAGTAAGAACTGAAGCATTCATACTGTGTCTGAGAGTCACTCAGCATCAGATAGTTACGTAGTCATCATGAAGTCATTAGATATTACTGTCAACATACTGTAACGTTTTTAGTTACTACTGAAAGGGTTTTGGATTGATAACCGAATTTATTTGACTCTATGTTACACAACGCGTGACTACACTTTACAGTACACTGTTACCACATGCACACTAGTGTCCACAGTCACTTGTTCACTGTCGTTACTTGGTGGCGGCTTCTAACGGTGGACCTTCCATTTCCTCTGGGTTCACGAACTGTCCCCGTCCTCAGCTACCAGCTTGTAATAGCAACAGCTCACGACATCTGAACCCCAGCGGTCGTCTAACTAACTCACACTTTCCACTAACTTGTTCCGCTTATAAGTCGGCGAGGACCACACAGGAAACACCGTTCCTCTATTGCTGCTTAAGGGTCGTTGCCTAGTAACGACCGTTTTATATTTGAGTATTACGCTGTCGTTGTCTAGTAACAGCACTGCACGACACATTACGATGGGAACCTAACCGCCATATCAGACCTCGCAGAAAACACACAGGACTGCCCGCCCATAAGGGTTTTCTGTTCAAGGGTGAACAGTGACAGTGATGTGTCTTGTTGCAGTGGTGGATCCTAGGAGACTTACCCGGCCACTGAGTGTCAACTCCTCTACTCCTCATGTCGAAACACTCAGCGATCTGTTCTGTCTGTCTGCTGACAGGGCATTTCACAGGAGAGTGGGCAGTAAAGACATCCTGTGACTTCTGCTTAATTTAATAAAATTGTTTATTTTAAAACAATCTCCTGACTTTGCTGACAGTTATAATTTTACGTAGAGTAAACCCTCGATAATCCGGTTACATTTAATCCGGATGTTGGGTAATCTGAACTGAAATATGAAAAACGAGAAACTGTATTCACAGCTGAGTGCACACTTTAGAAAACATGGGATTTAGGAGCAAGAGAACTTTCAGACTGTGTTGAGGGCAGCTGGAGAGACTGAAACCACGCGAGAAAATATCAAAGATTGGCTTCAGCTGGACGAAATAGGCCCTGGATTTCAGCTTCTGACAGAGGAGGAAACTGCTGCGGTGATATTTTTTATTTATTTTCATCAGCACTACCTACATTATTAAATTTTCAATTTATTTGTGTTGCTAAGTTTTTCTTTGTCTTTTAGGGCTATTTTTGCTTCATTTATCCAAATTACCCCCCCCCGCCCAATTAATCCAGATTTGCGATGGTTTACTCTTCCTGAAAATAAATACATGTGTGGTCTAGCTAGCAGCCACAGAATCTTCCTTTCTAGAGTACCAGCACCGGATCGCTTGGGGAATCTAAGTCAGTTTCTATCCATTCCTTGTTCTCCTTTCCTATCAACTTCTCCACCTCCTCCACAGTTCCTTCCTCCTCCTTTTCTTCTTCTCCTTTGCTCTCTTTCTCATTCTCTCCTCCTCCTCCTGCTCTCCTCTTTCTCTTTAGAACAGTGGAATTGATCCACTCTGCAGTCTTACGTATACGTATGTATGTATGTAAGATTTCTAGAATTGTTTCAGAATGTAATGGCAGGATCTGGAGATGAATGAACATCCATTGGGATCTGTGGACAGAGGAATTCCTGAACAGCTAAACACTGAATGCACAGGAATGTTCATGTGAGAAGAACATGGTTACCAGGAAATAATTAGAACAAGGACTTAACTAAGTCTATCCTGTTTGGCCAAAGAACGATGCATTACCATAACTTTTAATCGAAATTTAATTAAAAAAATTAAAAAAAAAAGGATTGGTACTATAAGACCAAATTTCTACCAGTACATACAGCCATATTTTTCTGTGTTCCAGCATATTTTCAGCACATTCTGCCAAATTTTTTAGCCGTAAATTCATGAATATAAATATATTAAAACTTTTAATACAGAAAGTGTGGTGTAGCTACATCAAACCACAATGAATTACACACCCAATTTGGTGTATTCAGAACCGCCTGTTAGTTTCATCATGCCCGCCCACTGGTTAGTATTAGGCCCATACGTCACATATATTGATCAAATTTGGTTTCACATGCCTCCACAAAATCGTGTCAAGATTTTCTCATTTTGGCGAACTTTGTTACTATATTTTTTCAAATGAAACATAACCTAGAACACAAACAAACATTTAAATAAGCAGTGTGAATTTTTCAAACGAGAACCCAACTTCAGGAGTATTTCACCAAGAGAGTCCTAGCCCTCTAATGCATGGTGTTATTAACGTACATAATACTGTGTTCTCGTTTAAAAAATTCGTCTTGTATATTTTATTACGGTGTGTAACTTTCACTCATTTAATTCCCTTTTATGAGCTGGAATTACTGGAACATTATGGGATGTACTCACCAAGTATTCAACTCAGAAAATAATTCATTGAATAAATTTTACAGACTAATCAAATACTCCCGTCATATATCAAACAATATCTGGATAAAACTCAACCATTTCGCGGAATCCACTAGTACAGAAATATTTGGTAATTGGAAAGCATATAAATCGTTGTCCAACTTACAGCTTTCGACCTGAAACTGAAGACTGGTTAACAGCACAGTGTGGACATAGACACTACGCACTAACGAGAGATACCTGTATAAAACAAACCTGACAAAGTTTCTGATCCAGTCAAATTACGTGAAAATATACACAACTTTTGTATATCATAAAGTTCAATAGCAACGTAAATGACTGTACAGGATTGTAGTCACTCTGTCAGATAAGTTCAAGATGGCCGCCATTAGCGTCAAAGCACAATCTATACCACCAAACACGGGACGCGCAAATGCATTACTCTGGGAGAAGCTATGTGATAATGGTTTCAAGATCATATACAGGATGTCCTAGGGGGGGAAGGTCAATATTCAGGGAGGTCACAGTATCGGCCATTCTAACCAAAAAGAAGTTCATATGTACATGTGTCAAGATGCACTCAGGCGAGCAACACGCCATGTCCTCACACGAGTTGCAAAGTGCATTGATGTTGATGGTGGAATTTTCGAGAATGTATTATACTAGGTAAACTATACCAACTTTGTCACTTGAACAATAAATATCTGTAATATCTCTTTGAGTCGGGATAGCGTAGTCGATATAGCGACTGGCTACATGTTGGAAGACCGAGGGGTCAGAGTTCGAGTCCCTGTATTGTCAAGAATTTTCTCTTCTCCATGTCGTCCAGACGGGCTCTGGGGCTCACCTAGCCTCATATGCAACGGATACCTTGGGCATTTTCCCCGAGGTAAAGCGACCGGAGTGTTAAACTGACCACTCACATCAAACTAGTGCTGAGGTCAAGAAAACGTGGATCTATACATCCACTGCCCTATACGCCTTCATAGCATAGTGCTTGATTAGTTAAGCACAGGGACAACTTTACCGTGCATTTACATAGTATCTCTTTCTTATCAACAATTTTGAAAGTGTGTAGTGAAATATCTGTACCTTGGAAACCGAATGAATAGGACACATGTACATATACACTTCTTTTTCAGAATGACCGATACCGCGACCTCCCAGATTATTGGCCTTCCCTCCTGGGACACCCTTGATAAACTGGCAGTTAGGTCCCCCAAAAAGGCTGCATACGAGTAGATTTTTGCAAGAAATATAAACACAAATTTATTTATATTTAGTAAAATTCGGGGGGGGGGGGGGATGACAGAACATGGCGGAAACTAACAGACGCTTCAGAATTATCAAAAGGCCGAGCAATAAATTAAATGGTTTAACTGAATTAAGGGTTCTGCAGTTACTTTAACAACGGATATTTCAATTTCGGGCATGCACCGTTCTTTGTTTCACCCGCTCGCCACGGTGAGGCACAGGATATGAGCGGGACCTGAAACAAAAGAAACAAACAAAAACAAAAAACAACATTAGCACAATCTGCAACAAACATTATGGAAATCAGGAGGATTTACACAGAAACCTTACCTCTGCAGTTAGCAATTTGAAGTCAAGTCTTCTGTCACTCAGATCTTCATTCAAAAGCACAATTCTTGATCCGATACGCTGTACGTTTTTAATATCCTCGCGCTCGGAAGGAGTGAAACGAATGTATGATTCGTTCACTGCAGTAAACCGTGTTAAAACGGACGTCTTAATCAATCTCAAACAGCTCACCATTATACTCAATTTTGTGCATGGAATTAAAGCAAAATTCGTCAGAAAGACAAAATGTCGACGGCTCCTCTTCTCGAAAGTGCAGCTGAGACTGGTATTGAAACGATGCTCCTTTCGATGTGTAAATCAAACGAAAACGCCCAAGCACGGCCAACACAAAAGTCGCTCCTTTCGATATGTAACTCGAAGGAAAACACCCAAGCACGGCCAACACAAACGACGCTCCTTTCGATGTGTAAATCAAACGAAAACACCCAAGCACGGCCAACACAAACGACGCTCCTTTCGATGTGTAAATCAAACGAAAACACCCAAGCACGACCAACACAAACGACGCTCCTTTCGATGTGTAAATCAAACGAAAACACCCAAGCACGACCAACACAAACGACGCTCCTTTCGATGTGTAAATCAAACGAAAACACCCAAGCACGACCAACACAAACGACGCTCCTTTCGATGTGTAAATCAAACGAAAACACCCAAGCACGACCAACACAAACGACGCTCCTTTCGATGTGTAAATCAAACGAAAACACCCAAGCACGACCAACACAAACGACGCTCCTTTCGATGTGTAAATCAAACGAAAACACCCAAGCACGACCAACACAAACGACGCTCCTTTCGATGTGTAAATCAAACGAAAACACCCAAGCACGACCAACACAAACGACGCTCCTTTCGATGTGTAAATCAAACGAAAACACCCAAGCACGACCAACACAAACGACGCTCCTTTCGATGTGTAAATCAAACGAAAACACCCAAGCACGACCAACACAAACGACGCTCCTTTCGATGTGTAAATCAAACGAAAACACCCAAGCACGACCAACACAAACGACGCTTCGCTTTATGGAAATAATTCGTCGTGATAACACGAACCGTATCTAATATCACACAGCCTGGCGGCTAGTGACAGAACTACCCAACTCAGAGGCCTGTATTGTCTATTCAGTTTAACTCTAACACGTTCAGTTCTTCAGATGGATTTTAATTACATCTTCAGCTACGTTCTTGTTCATATAAAATCCTCCGACAGCAATACGCGATTTTCAACATGTGAAATGTGCATGTCACAAGTCCACGTGTATTCCTCGATAAGTAACAATGGGGGTCAGTTACTTTATATTATTGATTTGCCTGATGTGTTTCTTCATGATGACAGCCGATGTCATGTCCACGTTGAGGCTGGAAGGCATTTAGGGACCTACCTTGTGCCTTCCTCCATATTGACAATTGATGTCCTGTCCAACACTGAAGCTGGAGCACATTTTGTTGGCCTACCTTATGCGTTTCCTCGTTCCTACATTTTATAAAATGAATTCACAGTAAAATCCATAGACAGACAAACAAACATACACATGTCACTTCATAAATGTAAATGGGTACATCAGATGTTCATATAGATTCACTCTCTTATCTTTCACCATTAAAGTGAAAGTTAATATAGATTCAGTCACTTATCTTTCACCATTGAAGTGAAAGGTGGCTCAAAACAAAATTAAGTTTTGTATTATTGAATCTTTGTCCTTCCAATGCGAGTTATTCAGAGGCAGAGACTGCTAAAGTTCTTTTTACCTCTCCCCCTTTCGCATTGATTTGTCAAGTTACACCCTGCGGTATAAAAAAAAACACAGAAATACTTACAACTAAACCCTCCTGAACGAGCGTCCATTAAGCCAGCAAGGGCTACGCTGGACACAAAATCTACATTCACGCAGCCTAACCACAAATCCTATCGGGGGCACCTAACGGGGAGGGCGGGAGGACAACACCTTACAAACTAATATTAAAAAAAATATTGCATCTACAGGGTTGTCAACTGGACTTTAACCTAAGCCCTGAGTCACTGCGGGTACCGCA